CCCCCCAGTCCCCCAGCCCCCGATGTAATCCCTGCCCTGTCTGACTGGACCAAGGCCTGTGAGGCCAGTTGGCAGTGGGGGGCCCTTACCACATGGAGCAGCCCCCCCCCCCACGGTGGTCCTAGCCAATTATCCAGCCTCTGCGGTGAGTGCGGCAGGAGCTTCAGTCAGTAGTCTAAGGTTGGGGAATGAGGCTGGGCGGGAGAGGTAAAGAAAACCAGGAGATCAGCTCCCATTGTGTGCTCCTCTCTCCTTCCCAGGGTCCCCGGAGCCCTCCACAGTCCTGAGCTCTGGGATGGAGCCTGAGACGGCGCTGTGCGGCCCGGATCTGCAGGGTCCTGAGCAGAGCCCCACCGATGCTCACAAAGGTGAGGGGCACAAGGAGGGACTGCGGTCCTGACAAGACAGTGGCCCCGGTCAGGGAGGGACCCAGACTCTGGGGGAAACCCAGGGGAGGGCAGAGAGACCGGACCCCGTGTTCTGAAAAGAGATGGGGGCTGGAGACTCCCTTTCTCTCTGTAGGTGCCGAGAGTGGGAACGAAGAGGAGAGCCCTCAGCAGGAAAGTTCTGGGGAGGAGATCATCTTGGGAGATCCAGCTCAGAGTCCAGAACTCAAGGACCCACCAGAGATGCCCCTGGAGGGGCCCTCCCTGAGTCCCTCCACCCCCCAGGACCACCCGGCCTCACTGGGTCACCCCAACCCCTTAGACCACCAGACCCCTCTGGATCCCCCAGCCTCCGAGGTAGTCCCTGCCCCGTCTGACTGGACCAAGGCCTGTGAGGCCAGTTGGCAGTGGGGGGCCCTTACCACATGGAACAGCCCCCCAGTGGTCCCGGCCAGTGAGCCCAGCCTGCGAGAGCTGGTACAAGGCCGCCCGTCCGGGGCTGAGAAGCCTTACATCTGCAACGAATGCGGCAAGAGCTTCAGCCAGTGGTCCAAGCTGCTGCGGCACCAGCGCATCCACACCGGTGAGCGGCCCAACACCTGCTCTGAGTGCGGCAAGAGCTTCACCCAGAGCTCCCACCTGGTGCAGCACCAGCGCACGCACACAGGCGAGAAGCCCTACAAGTGCCCCGACTGCGGCAAGTGCTTCAGCTGGAGCTCCAACCTGGTGCAGCACCAGCGCACGCACACGGGCGAGAAGCCCTACAAGTGCACCGAGTGCGAGAAGGCCTTCACCCAGAGCACCAACCTCATCAAACACCAGCGATCCCACACGGGCGAGAAGCCGTACAAGTGCGGAGAGTGCCGGCGGGCTTTCTACCGCAGCTCGGACCTCATTCAGCACCAGGCCACTCACACGGGCGAGAAGCCCTACAAGTGCCCCGAGTGCGGCAAGCGCTTCGGCCAGAACCACAATCTCCTCAAGCACCAGAAGATCCACGCCGGTGAGAAGCCGTATCGCTGCACCGAGTGCGGCAAAAGCTTCATCCAGAGCTCGGAGCTGACACAGCACCAGCGCACGCACACCGGTGAGAAGCCCTATGAGTGCCTCGAATGCGGCAAGAGCTTCGGCCATAGCTCCACCCTCATCAAGCACCAGCGGACTCACCTCCGCGAGGACCCCTTCAAGTGTCCCGTGTGTGGCAAGACCTTCACCCTGAGTGCCACGCTGCTGCGGCACCAGCGCACACACACAGGCGAGCGGCCGTACAAGTGCCCCGAGTGCGGCAAGAGCTTCAGCGTCAGCTCCAACCTCATTAACCACCAGCGCATCCACCGCGGCGAGCGGCCCTACATCTGTGCGGACTGCGGCAAGAGCTTCATCATGAGCTCCACCCTCATTCGCCACCAGCGCATCCACACGGGCGAGAAGCCCTACAAATGCTCTGACTGTGGCAAGAGCTTCATCCGGAGTTCCCACCTCATCCAGCACCGACGCACCCACACGGGCGAGAAGCCCTACAAGTGCCCCGAGTGCGGCAAGAGCTTCAGCCAGAGTTCAAACCTCATCACCCACGTGCGCACCCACATGGATGAGAACCTCTTCGTGTGCTCCGACTGCGGGAAGGCCTTCCTGGAGGCACACGAGCTGGAGCAGCACCGGGTAATCCATGAGAGGGGGAAGACTCCAGCCCGAAGAGCTCAGGGTGACTCCCTCCTGGGGTTTGGGGACCCCGCCCTGCTGACCCCACCACCCGGAGCCAAACCCCACAAGTGTCTGGTCTGTGGAAAGGGCTTCAACGATGAGGGCATCTTCATGCAGCATCAGAGGATCCATATTGGAGAGAACCCCTACAAGAATTCAGATGGCCTCATCGCACACCCAGCCCCCAAACCACCTCAGTTCCGACCCCCGAGGCTCCCTTTTGGAGGGAATTCCTATCCAGGTGCTGCGGAGGGCAGAGCTGACTCCCCGGGACAGCCCTTTAAAATGCCTGATGGGCAGGAGAGCTTCAGCCAGAGGCTGGGGCTGCTCTCCTCCAAGTCCTACATTTGCTCCCACTGTGGAGAGAGCTTCCTGGATCGCTCTGTCCTCCTCCAACATCAGCTCACCCACGGCAACGAAAAACCCTTTCTCTTTCCTGATTACAGGATTGGACTTGGGGAAGGGGCAGGGCCCAGTCCCTTCCTTAGTGGCAAGCCCTTTAAATGCCCTGAATGCAAAAAAAGCTTTGGCCTCAGCTCTGAGCTGCTGCAGCACCAGAAAGTCCATGCAGGCGGGAAACCCCAAAAAAGTCCTGAGCTGGGGAGGAGCTCTTCTGTTCTCCTGGAGCACCTCAAGAGCCCCTTAGGGGCTAGACCCTACAGCTGCTCAGATTGTGGGGCCTCCTTCCTCGATCACCTGGCCCTCGTCAGGCACCAGGAGACCCACACCCAAGAAAAGTCCCCCAGACCAGAGGACCCACTTCGAGAGCCAGCCACCCTGTCCACAAGTCAGGAAGGTGAAGGGGAGGCCCCCACCCCCACAGAGAGTAGCAATCATGGGGAAGGGGAAAACCGCAAAACCCTCTTGGAAGAAAAACCCTATTTGTGCCCCGAGTGTGGAGATGGCTTCACAGAAGTTGCAGCCCTCCTCCTCCACAGGAGCTGCCACCCAGGCGTCTCCCTCTGAAATGAGTCTGGAGACCAGGGGGCCTCTCGCTACTGAGAGGAACAACGGATCCCCAAAAGAATTATGCAGAGAAAGGAAGAAAACCTGGTTAGACTGTAGAGAAAGTGAAGGATAAAGAACCCTGGGTAAAAATAATGCTTTTACATGAGTGATGAAAAACCCTATAAAATTGTTGGGGGGGAACCACTTATAAGGCAGTATAGAAAAACTGTTGGGTTAGAAACCCTATAAATACGTAGGAAAAAAAGTCCTTTAAGTCTGTAGCAGAAAAACCCTATAAACCATAGCGGATAAAAGCCCTATTAACTGTAGGAAAAGGTCCCAATATGTCTCTAGACAGCCCTATAAAACTGTATCAAAATCCTTGTGCAACTATAGGGTCGAGGAAAATGCAGGGAATACAACAATGGCATTGGCTTGGGAGGAGCAACCCTCAGAAGGTGTAGGAAAACCTCCCATAAATTTGTTCCACAGTGTTCTGTCCCAGTGGAGTAGGGGAGGGAGCCTCTCTCCTGGCAGCCTTGGACAATTACCCTGAGGAAAGCGCTTAGCTGGGGAGTAGCATGGAAATTGGGTGGAACTGGAAGAGGAAGAGAACAAAAACAGGAGAAAAATAGCCAAGCCAAGTGAGCAGAAGAGGAGAAATGACACAGGAACTAGTTAAAAGTCCAGCTAATTGCACTGGGGCTCCTTGGGGTAAGAGGCCAATCTTAGATGAATTGTGTGTGTTAGGGGAAAAGGCCCATAGAATTCCTTATCAAAAAGAACCCAAACATGAAGCGGGGGGAAAGTATGGCAAGCCTTTTTAAGGGCTGTTTGGGGTGCACAGAAACTTCAGTGTGAGAACACTGGGAGTCCACCACAAAAATTAGGGGGAAGAGTTGGGAGGATTTCTATTAGAATGCTTTGAGGGAAGCAAACCAAGGTGGAAAAACTGTTCCAATGACACCCAGCTAACTCCAGGCTGCCCCGTCCTCCCTGTTTCCAGGAGCTTCTGCAGGTACAAGCAGATCCTAGCTCTGGCCACCAGGATTTGCCCCGATCCAGGCAACCCATCTCCCAGCCCAGCTGGGGGCTTCTACTCCGTAGAAGAGGCGTCCCGGAACAGAGGGCCCCTCTTTCCACATTCTCAGGTCTTACTGTCGGGGTTTTCCTGAAATCTAACTGCTGCCAGTCTTGCTGCGATGGCAGCCCATCTCCTCACATTCTGTCCTCAGTGGAGAGGGAGAACCGCTGCTAGTTGACCTCCAAAGAATAAAGCCCTTTAGAGACTCAAGGCCTATGTGTGGTCACGTCCTCTCTAGGCTTCTCCTCTTCAAGTCAACTAGAGCCATGGTGGATTCTCTGTGGCAACAAGAGACAGCCAGCCGATCGAGTAGAAAGCTTCAATTAGCCAGCAACCTGATTTTTAAACCTCAGTCTTCCATTTGAGCTGTTAGCAAGTCAGCCTGCAGGATGAGCGGCCTGTGTATAGTGGTGGGTGTCCAACACCTCATGGACTGGACCATAGGTCCCCGAAGAGTTTACAAAGGCCTGGCCACCTTCCCCTTCCTGGTACCTGGTGCCCTCTGAGGTTGTGATGACCCAGACGACAGATCCCACCCACTTGGCTTCTCTCCTCCTCAGCCAGAAACCTGAGAAACAGAAGGAATGAGAAACGTGGCTTCTCTGCCAGGCCCACCTCCTGTTCTCACACACCACACACAGTTAACACACTTTCATAAACCCAGCCAAACTCACTAATGTGGCTAGGTGTGTGTGGCAGGGGAAAGAGACTATGGCCCTGTAAAATGGTTGAAGAGAGAACTCTTGAGAGAAACATCTGTATCAAGAACCCCACCCCTTAAACCTGGAGACCCTTAATGGAGGAGAGGACTCTTTAGTGCTGGATCTGAAAAGAAGTGCCCACTGACCCCATGCTGGCAGGGTGAGGTGCCCCTTCAGGAGTCGCATCCCCAGAGAGGGTGACCTGAATTCCTACAAAGCTGTGGAAGAGACCTCTAATTCCATTACCTTAAAGTTCAAAAGATGAAAATCCTTCACCCTTCGTCTATCCTGCCCCCAAAGGGATGATCCTCAAATTTAAAAGGATCAAAATCTAGAACGCTGTAGGAGAAAATTTCCAGGCTTGCTGGGACAGGAAAAAGGCAGGCCATGTCTGATTGTGGGGGAAAAACACCTTGTTAACATCTGCATAACGTCCCCCCCCAACCCCACCCAAATGCCAGGTAGGAAAGCACTACTGAGAGGGAAGGAGGAGCCTGCCTCCTAGACCTCTATCAGAAGAGACTTTGACAAAAGGGGTGTCCCTAGAAGACTGAGGAAAAGGAGTTGAATCCTCCAAGCAGATTTTTTTTTTTTCCTCTAAGATGATAGCAGAAAGAAACTTAAAAGTTGTAGAGACAAACCCCTTGTAAAATTAGAAGCAGATCTCCTCGGAAACAGGTCTGAGGAATCTGTCCTCAGAAAACAGTTCTGGGGAACAGACTTTTGGGCTCAGAGGCCAGTCCGGGGAGAGGTGGTCCGCGTAGTCATAGGCCAACTGTAGGCCTGTCAGGACTAGGGTGTAGCATATAGTAGGATGCTCGCATGTTGTAGGGATGGGTGAGGGCTAAGAGTCTCGGCTCCAGTACTGAATGGATGATGTGGACACGATTCATCGGGGCCTGGGGTTTCAAAGCAGGAAAAGGGCAGAGTCAGAAACCTTTGCAGTGTGGCCTGTTCTCTCTTGTCCCTCCACCCCTACCTCCCCCCTTTAGCCAGGTGCTGCCCTCCAGGGTGAACTGTATCTTGTTGGGAGGAACTAAGGGAGCTGGCCAGGAGATGTGGCCCACCCAGTGAATGGCAGCATCCAGTGTCCCTCTGACTGGCTCAGGCAAAGGCACAGGGGCCACGGCACTTGCCCACCAGAACTGAGTCTGAAAGGCTTAGCATGCCATCCCCTCTTATCCAGCTCCATGCAGGCCCCAGACCCCTCAGAAGTACCCGGTGGAGGTGCCCAACAAGCAGGGCCAGGGAGTCATTGGGGGAAAGGAGAAACTCATCTGAGCTTAGGGTGAAACCTGAAACTGCTGTGGCTATGGAGGTCAGATGGGAACTCTAAGAACTGGGCATGAATCCTGAACGGTGGAGAAACTGGAAACCATTACAACCAAGAAGTGGGGTTCCATGACAACCCCCACACACTGAGGTGAGCAGCCCCCAGACTCCTTTGTCCCCATAAGGGCAACCCCACTCGCCTAAGTTGTCCCCCTGGAGTGAAGAGAGGCCCCACCTTTGAGTGTTGTGTGTCAATAACAGTGTTGTGTCACCGGTGGTCATGTTGATTAGCTGAAGAGAATAAAGGGAATAAGATTTCCCAGGTGTTTTCTGTCTTCTCTTTCAGCCTAGAGCAAGTTGAAAGAGCTTGTCTTCTCCCAGAACCAGGGCCCATGTGTGACCTCAAAAGCTCAGCCCAGCCCCAGGCCACTCTCACCCTTTACCCAGAGGCACTAGAGTCCTCATTTGGTGCCTCCTGGTGGGAAGCTGAGGAGTTGATGAGGTTTTAAAATCCGTACCCTTGGTGGGGGTGGGGGGAAATCTGATGAGATGGTAGCAGAGCCAAGAAGCTCTTGTTGGCGCCTGGCTTCTACACCAGAATGATGTGCTGACTGCTGGATGGCTGCCTGGTAACTGGCACTGGCCGGCTCAGGCCCAGCTATGTAGTCCAGGGAGGCCTCTCTGGCCACAATGCCTGCATCCTCTCCAGGATGCCCCAGAGTAAAGCCTGTCCTCCCAGGATCTAGCTCCACAAGCTGGCAGCCACCTCCCCTGGTTGACCTGGGTCCTGGGCCTGGCCCACCTGTCTTAGCCCCTCCTCTGGACTTGGGCCTCCTAGGTCCTAAAAAAAGATAGGTGGAGACCTGGTTTATCATTTCACTCTTAGCATGTCTGTGGGCTCTCACAGTGTGGAAAGGTTGAGACTCCCAGAAGGGCAGCCACTTGCCTAAGTTCCACAGCAAGTCAGTGAGGGAAACCAGAATGGCCAGAGCTCAGGCAGGCTGTCATCCAAGCCTCCCCTCCCCCCAGCACTGGGCCTGCCTGGGCCTGCTCTGGGCTCCACACTGTCTGGGCCAGGCAGGGCCCACTCCAAACAACTCTCAATGCCAGGCCTGCCACAGCGCTATCTTCTGGGCCTCGGAAGGGTCCCAAGTGGTCGCCTGAAGTCAGCACTTGCTCGTCTGCCACCTGCCTCTGCTCCTGTCTGCCAGGGGCTTCCTGCTCCAGCTAGGAAGCTATCTGCCCACCTTCCTTGTGCCTCTCTGATCAAGACCTCAAGGGATGAGGTTTGCAAGAAAAGGGAATAGCATGTGGAGAGGCTGGGGAGAATTAACGGTGTGTTAGTTGGCTGTGGTCTGAAGAGTATAGGGGGCAGGGCTCGAGAGAAGGTAAAGCTAGATATAGCAGAGTGTGCTGAGAGTCTCATTTTAGGAGCTTGGGGATGGGGCGCTATTGCGGGATTTGAAGGAGGGTGACATGATCCTGTTTCCCTCCACAATTGGTGATTTTCTTGGTCTGGCGCTCAGGAGGGAGAACTAGGCTGGAGTTGAGCCTTAGCAGTTTAGCTGTAGCCATGGCCATGGATAAACACACCCAGGGAGAGTGGCAGAGTGTAAACGAGAGGGCCTAGCCTAGGAGAAGAGGAAAACAATCAGCAAAGTTAGTGAGGAGCTGCTAGCAGCTGGGGAGTAGGAGGGAAACCAGGAGAGCATAGTGCTACAGGACTCAAGGGAAGCCTTTCAAGAAGAGTGGCCAGTGTCAAATGCTTCACTGAACCCTGTGGCCAGTCACAGACAGGAGCCCTAGTTCTGGTGGAAACAGGCACCTTCACCACTGAGGCCAACATCTGCTCTCCCCCAGGAGGTTAGTCAAGGTCAGGGTTGGTCCAGGCAGTTTTGGCCTGCCCATCCCAGAGGCCCAGGGTATCATAGCCACCAGATACCCTGGGCATTACTGGAGGTTGGAAGGGGAGGGGCCCAACCAGCCCTAAGGCCGATCTTCCCAAAATTGGACAGGCTCGTGGCAAACGGTTTATTGAGTTTACTCTGTTCCTCCTAGGGCCATCCGTGCTTGCTCCCCCACGCTGGGGATCTTTCTCTCACATTTTTAGCGGTCAGAGAGTCTGAGAAAGTAGTTTGACACCTCATCTATTATTAGATATGAGCACTCACAAAGACTTTTTAGCTCTTTTTGATAAACTGACCATTAGGGGAGATGTCTGAGAAGGCAATATGCAGTTACTTGCATTTACTGGGAAAGAAGCCCATGCGGAGGTGACGCCTGGGAAAAAGGATAGCGCTCGCAGAAGATTGGTTGACCTCCGCCAGCGCCCTGGGTGTAGCTCTCCTCACCGCGCCAGGATCTCTCTAGAGGGCGCAGGTGGCCGTGTCTCTATGATGCAATATCCTGCGTTCTTCCTACCCTTGCTTCCGCTGCCCCCGGGCCACGGATACTTCTTCGGCGGCCTGATGCCGTCCCCCGCGGCGGCCCGTGCTTCCGCGAGCGTGCCTTCCGCCGCCAGCCCCGCGACCTCGCCCGGGGCCACAGTAGCCCGCCTCTCTGTCTCCGATCCGACCTGGTCCAGCCGCTACGGTCCCGCCGAAGCCCCGGCCACCAGGCGGGGCCCGAAAGCGGACAAGGCCGCGAGTCTCCGTGAAGGCGCAACCACTGACAGGGCCGCGGGCTCCCGCGAAAGCCCGTCAGCTGATAAGCCCGCGGTCGCCACTGTGGCCATGGCCCCGACTCCAGCTCCGACACCAACCCCGGTCAGCGCGAGTTCCAGTATAGCTTCCGTGAAAGATCCATCCGAGGCCCAGACAGCGCGCTGAACCGAGGCGCCTGGTTTCCGAGGACATGGCCAAGGGCCAGCACAAGCTGCAATGAAGGAAGTCACTCCCCTGAGATGTCCTAGTCTGTCCATTTGAGGGGGCGTTAGGTCCAGTGCCGCCTTTGGCCTGCACAGCCAAGTAACAGCGTGCCCCCTTCGGAATGCCTTCTCGCCATGTGCGAATAAGGCACTACATTTCCCAGGATGCAGCTGGAGGCCTCCGGGAATCTCCCAACACGAAAACGGCATGCCAATGGCCAATGACTGCCAGGGGAGTGGCAAGCCGGCCCGAGGAAGCTGACTCCTGAAGCCAAACCTGGCTGCCTAAAACCCTCTGCCTGAAAGCAAGATGGGTGCGCTGCCCCTCCTGCACAGGCCCAGTATGGGGTAGGGATCCCTGATAGCCCTTAAGCCTAAGCACAACCAGGATTTTGGAGTGGCCAGGAGCGGGTCTCATACCAGGGGCAGGTGTAGTGGCTAAAAAGTGGGCACCACGTTCAGGGGAGGATGACTGGCTATGCCGACTGTAGGCCGAGGGTTGGACATTTATTTATAACGATTACCAGCCTATACAAGACATCTCTGTAGTGTAGGGGCTGTAGGTCCAAATAGGCCCCGGCATCTATCAGCAGCTCCACCTCCCAGGCCCTTCTGGGTGCTGCCTTCCTGGCCTACATGGGCAGGCAGCACAGGAAGCATCATGGGTACAGGTTCAGTCACAGGGTGGCTGGGTGAAGCTCTTCTGCCTGGAATGACTGGAAGTTGGCCCAATGGCTGGTCTGTCCCTTCCCCTCTGGGGAAGTTCTGCCTCCACTGCAGATAAGGCCACCAAGATGAAAGTAGGGTCAGAGCTGGAGACCCAGTGGAGCCTCAGGCTACATGAGGTGGGGATAAGCAGGCTTGGAAGAAAAGTGGAAATTGGGGAGGGTCCTGTTTAGCTACTAACTGACGATCTTGGTTGGCTGAACATTTCAAGATGAGGGGGTGACTGCAGCAATCCCGAGCAATAGGGTGGTGCCCCTTGCTCTAGCTCTTGTGCTAAAGGCTAAAGGGTCACAGGGAACACCACAGGAGGGAAGCCCTGCCCAGGCCTGGGGGGAGGGGGGTAGGTGAAGAAATCTCAGGACCCAAGTCTCACAAAAAGGGGCTAGGGGCCTAGCCCACTCCTTACTTGTGGGTGTGTAGACAGGTGGTAAGCCTCTAACAGGAGATCACAGCCTGGGGAATTTCCTCCTAAGATCTAGGACGGGCCCTTGGAAACTGGGGGAAGGTTAGGGCAGCTTCTGGGAAGCTCAGTTGAGAGCTCTGGACCCTCAGGCCTCTCATGGCGGACTTTGCTGCAAAGCAGGTGCCACCTAGGCTGCCCCTTTGATCTTGAGGAAAAGATGGAGCTAAGCTTAACTGATCCCACTAGCACGTACTGGGGCCCCCAAACCAACCAGGTGGGCAGGAACTGGGCCCATAGGGTCTGGAATGCAGGGTAGGGGCCAACAGACCTGGGATAGGGAGGGGCTGGGGGCACAGCCCCCAGGGCCTGTAGGTGCTCCAAAGTCCCCTGAGTTACGGGTTCAGCTGATGTAGACACGGTGGAAGTCGTGGGCACCAAAGGCTGCGTTGCACTTGGGGCACTTCCTCTGGCGTGCCTCATAGCGGCCTCGCACACACTCGAAGCAGAAAACGTGGAAGCACTTGGTAAGCACTGCATCCTTCTTGCGGGTGTTACAGCAGGGGCAGGTCAACCGCGCCTGGGCCAGGCAAAGGCATCAGCTTGGGAACAACCCTGATGGTGCCCAGACCCTAAGCAGTCTTCAGGAGCTGGTCCAGGCTGAGCCCGCCACACAGCGGACTGCATCTAACCCTCCCCATAACCCTGGGAGGTGGGGGGTGGGGTGAGCACTCTACAAATGAGGAAACTGAGGCTCAGAGGCCAAGGTCTCAAAACTAGAAAGTAGCAAGGCCTAGATCCTAACCTGGGCAGTGCTGTCACATGGGCCCTTCTCAAGGCCAGAGACACACGGGCCTTGCCTGGCTCTTCTGCCCCTCTGTCATTCTCTGGCAAAACTCCAATCCTGGCTCAAGCCGACTGTCTACCTCTTCACCTGCACCTGCTAAACCGCATCTGGGCATGACAGTGCCACTAGAAATCTGCTGTCTCCACCCTCAGCTGGACACCCAATGCTGCCCGGAGACCCTGCTGTGGGTCCCTGGACTCACTCCTCTCCTGTCCTGAAACCTCCCATCTGCCAACAGAAAGTCTCACCTCTCAACTCTGGATAGGAATTCAACACTCAGCATCCCCCAACATACCTCCTCTACCCTGCTTGAAATCACACCCCAGCTGGCCACCTCAGCAACCTCCCCAGCATCACCTCTGCCCTGTCACTCAGGAGCTTACTACCTACTAGCATTTAACAGGCTCCAAAATCTTTCTCATCTTGAGAAACTCTTTCCTTCTACTCCATGTGCCTCTGCCCCTTTAGCTAAAGTACTTCAAAGGGTTGTCTATCAATCTCGCCCCCGCCTCCTCACTCCAGTCAATGAGAAGGCAGGCGATCTGACCTCTAGCCCAAAACTATTCTTGCCAAGACTGCCAAAGCCAAGGGGGCATCTCCCATTGCTCGGTTCCTTTACCTCCTTGGCAGCTCTGACTCAGCTTACCCCCCCACCACCTTTAAGCTCTTCCCCCTTCCGCTCCCTCTATATCACTCTCCTTCCTCCCGACGGCCTCCTCTTCCTCTGCGCATCACTTAAGTTTTGAGGTTGCTACAGCTCCCATCTTGTTCTCAACACATCCTTAACCATCATCCACCAAAACCTGCTCTTCACAACCTTCCTAACCCCAGTAAATGGCAGTCATCCATCCAGATGCTCAAACCAGGCACCCAGGAGTCTTCCTTAATACCTCCTCCCCCTTCCTCACACCATGCACCTGATCCATCCCCAAGTCCAGGCAGTTTTACCTGCCATATATCTCCTGAACCCATCTGCTTGTCTGTAATACCTTAGGCTGGTTCAATGTCATTTTCGCCTCAACAACTGCAACAGCTAACAGATTTCACTGCCTCTATTCTTAATCCCTCCAGCCCAAATCCAAGAGCAAATCTCACCATGTCAGTCTCTTGTTTAAAACCCTCTGATGTCTCCACACTGCCTAGAGAATAAAGCAAGCATCTCAGCCTGGCTTACTACACCCGTCAGGGTCTGACACTGCCCAGCCTCTCCAGGCTTCCCTCTTAAAACAAAACCCACGTTCTCTCCTTCAACTGTGATGTCCAGCTCTCTGTTCTCTCCACTTGAGGCCTCATATCTGCCTTTCCTTTGCCTGGAACTCTCTCACCCCATTCCTCACAGCCAACCCTGACTCATCCTTCAGATTGGCCTCTGGTGACATTCCTTCTAGAAAGCCTGCTGACCGCCAGGGCTGGTTTAAGGTCTTCTCCTGAGTTCCCACAGCCCTTCTCTGGCCTCTGCCATTACATCACTCATCACTTGGGTGGAAGAATTACGTGGCTGCCCCCGCCGCCCCATCTGAAAAAACACCTACCTAGCACTGTCCCTGGCACTAGTAGGTGTACAATCAATACTTGGTCAGCTATCTTAACTCCACAACCAATGTTCTGCTCCAAGCCTTTCTACTATCCTACTTTATCTCTGTTGCTGTGTGTCACTGAGTCAGTTGTGACTCATACCCACCCTATATGACAGACTAGAACTGCTCCATAGGGTTTCCTAGGCTGTAATCTTTACAGGAGCAGGTCGCCAGGTCTTTGCTCCCACAGAGCTGCTGGTGGATTCGAACCACTGACCTCTTAGTCAGCAGCCGAGCACTTAACCATTATGCCACTAGGGCTCCTTCACCTTATCTCTGGGGTTCCCAAACTACCACTAGTTATCAACAACCCCTCATCTCAGATTCCTGGGCTGATGGGACACAGCTCAGCCTCACAGCCCCACCTTGTACTCCTTGATCTCCTCCTGGAGGATTTCATCAGCATCTGCATAAACTTCTACCTTCCTCTGCTTCTCCAATTTGCGCCGCAGCCGTGAGATGTCCTCCTGGGTAGAAGAGAGGCTAAGCTGAGTGCAAGGGCCCTCACCCTGAACTGCCTGATCCCAGACCAGCTCCATCCCACACACACCTGAGCCCTCTTGAGGTTGAAGCTCTCTTTCTCACGAGCAGCCCGGCTCTCCGCCAGGCAGGGTTGGATCTCTCGTAGCCGTGTCTGCACATGCTCCAGCTGCACCTTCAGGTCTTCAGCCAGCTGGGCTGCTTCCACAGCCTGAGACAGGTGGGACAGGGAGGAGGGGAACCATTTGCCTCAGCCTGGGGAGTCAGGCCATGGTCCACCTATGTTTGCGTAAAACCTTGCAGTGATTCTTGCTCTTGGGGTCAAGTCCAGTACCTGCGCCAGAGCTGGTCTGACCTCCTGACCCCTCAGCCCTCACCTCCTTAGACTCTCCCTCTCATTCCTGACACTTAAAGTTTCTCGCCTGATGCTCTCATCTTTGAGCCTTCACAGAGCTCTTCTCTTTGTTCCCCTCAACTATCCCAATATACAGAGTTTTCCCCTCAGGTCTCAGCTCAAATGTCACCTCCTGAGAAAGGCTTCACTATTTTTCTTTCACAGCACCCTACTTCTCAAGACTTACTGTGACCTGTAGTAACGTTTTATTTGTGGAATCACTGGCTTGTTATCTGTTCCTCAAGACTGGAAGTTCCACAAAGGCAGGGCCTGTCTTGTTCCCACTGTCTCCCCCGCACTCAGCACAGGGCCTGGTATATAGCAGAAGTGTGAAAATACTGCTTAAATGAATGGATTGACTGGAGGCGAAAAAAGCCCAGCAGGAGAAAAACCATGAAATTCAATGTTAAACTTAAGCCTTTACCATGAGCTAGGCATTTCTTATGTTTACTTCCTTTAATGCAGCTGTGTGATAGAGACCCTGATCCCCATTTTATAGCTAACCAATGCAGTAGTTAGAACGTGGGTCCTGGAAGCAAAAAGAGTGGGTTCCTCTCTTTCTTGAGAACGTCAACTCTCTCTCTAGCCTTCAGTTTCCTATTTATAAAGTGGAGATAATAAAAAAAAACCATCTCTGTAGGATTATTTTAAGATTGAAATGTGACCAAGCACAGGGCCTGCCACACAGTATGTGTTGGACACACGTGAGCTGTTAACCAGCTCAGAGCCCTACCCTCAGGCCATTCTTTTCAGAGGTGCTGAGTGGAATCAGAAAGTGGAGATGTTAGCCAGTATCCTAGGTCGCTGGTCCCCTCAGGCCCAGCCTCACCTTCCTCTTGTTGAGCTCCAGGGCCTGACTACGTAGTGTCAGCTCCTTCTCCACACCCCCAAGGTTGCCTTGCAAGGCCCGCTCCTTTTCCTCTAGCTTCTGCACGGTCAGCAGCTGGGCATCTACCTGAGGAAAGGGATGAGGGCTCAGTGCTAAGGAGCCCCTGCCTCTCCAGCTCCACCCTACAAGCCCAAATGAGCCTTACCTGGGACTTGAGGCCAAGAACCTGCTCACCCAGCTCATCCTTCTCCTCCCGCAGGAGCTTATGAATCTGGTTGGCCTTGATCCTCTCGGACATCAGCTTAAAGTTGGCATCATCCTTTTCCCGTAGCTGCTGTAGTAGCCGCCCATTCTGCTCCTGCATGTCCTCAAAAGCCTGACCTGTCACATCCATCTCTGACAGCAGCGCCTCCTCCTCCTGCAGCAAATAGGCAGGGACAAGATAGAGTGTGGAGGAGAGACAAGATGGCTGTGGGGAACCACAGAATACATGGCTGAGCCAAGAACCACAGCGGCCATCAAGGTGCCACAATGCTAGGGGCACCCAACAGAGAGTGTTAAGGGAATCCCAAGGTTTAGAAGCAAGGGGACCACAAAAGAAGCCACACCTGCTTTGTGGCACCCAACTTGCGCTGCAAGTGCTCTATCTGCTCCTCCGCCTGCCGAATGCGCCGCAGGGCATCCTCATCCGCGATCTTCTTGCTCTCCCTCCGATCCCTCTCCTCCAATTCCCGGATGCGGCTCCGTAGCTCATCCACCTACAGCCACCAGGAAGACGGAGCACTCATCACTGCATCTTGCTGACCTGGGGCACTCATTTGGTCAGAACTCCCCAAAGTGTAACAGGACCTCTGGGGCAGCCTTTCTGCAGGCCCCAGGCCCTACCTGCCCTCACCTCAGCCTTGGCCTTGCGTTCTGCTGCCATGAGCTGCACCTTATCCCTCTGCTCCTTGGGTGCTGACTTGTACATATCCAGCAGCAGCTTCATCTCCTTCTGGCTCTCCTGGGCCTTCCTAGGGGAGGTACAAGAGGAAGGCTTGGTGAGAAGGGCTGGAGACTACTTGGCAGGGGTGAGAAGAATAGGAGACAAGAACAGGGCCTCACTTGAGCTCTGCTCGGAGACCCTTGAGGAGCTCTGACTCCTTCCTTTTGGCTTCTTCCACCTTGGCCTTCTCCCGGTCAACCCTTGAGAGAGCTGAGGCTGCAGATGGGGGTCCAAGGCCAGGCCCTTCCCGTTCTCGAAGCTCCCGCTTGGGCCTGCCCTCAGGTTCTCGGCCCCGGGAGGAGGGGCCCTGGGCCCCAAGGGTTAGGGCCTGGGTATCCTCCTCAGAAGGGACCAGTTCCTCCTTCCTCACTGATGAGGCAGTTATGGTGGCACCAGGCATCGAAGTCATCTCCTTCCTGCCGTCAGGGGCACCACCAGGGCCTGGCCCACCCTCTTCTTTCCCTGGGGCTGGGGCACCGAGGCTAGAGTCCTCTGGATGGCCCAGGTTAGGAATGGAGTGGGTAGAGCCACTGGCCTGGGCCCGGAGCTGAGAAGAAAGACAGGGAACAGGGTGAGGCAAGACATGTGCACTGGGGTCCAGGAAAGGCTTTTCCCAGACAGCGCCTACCCCTGCTCACCTTGCCAATCTCAGCCTGCACCTCCCGCAGCTTCCGCTTATAGCGCTGGGCGTCCCCCTTCAGCTGGTGGTTGTGGTTTTGGAGGCTGCTGATCAAATGGCGCATCTCTCGGTTGATGGGCCCTGGGGGAGGGGTGTCAGGAAGTAAGGGGTTGGGCTGGTCCCTGGGTCAGGGGCTTGCCCCCTCCATGGGGAAGAGGCTGAGCCAGAGCCATCACTCCCATTGTGCAGGAGAGGAAAATTGAGGCCTTCTAATTAGTATGAGCTCATCAAAGTAAACAATTCCTAAAAGTAACTTGACACTGCCTCTTGATATTATTTTTAATGTAGATTTTTAAAAATACTTCAATGGAGCAGATAACTATAAATTCACACAAAAAAGTTAATCAACTTCCTTTAGATTTTTAAACAAATGCGACTTCGATTACTTTCCCTGGCCTCTCCGTCCAAAACTGCAATATCCTTTCTCCTACTACTTTCTATCTTCTATTCCCTGCTTTATTTAGAAGTCCCCGGGTGGCACGAATGGTTAAGCGCTCGACTACTTGCCAAACCCACCCAACTGGCAGTTCGAATCCACCCAGAGGCACCTAGGCAGACAGGCCTGGCAATCTGCTTCCAAAAGGTCATAGCATTGAAAACCTTATGGAGCAATTCTTCTCTGCATACGTGGGGTTGCCGTGAGTAGGAACTGACTCCACTGCAACTAATAACTGCTTTATTTTGCTTAGTATGTTTATCATTATCTAACATACACGTTCTATTTTTTTCTTTTTTGTTGCCTGTCTTCCCCTACTAGAGTACTGCTCCTCAATAGCAGAGATTCTTTGTGTTTTGTTCACTGGCATAACCCCAAAGCTTAGGGCAGAGCCTGGCTCATAGGTGGTGTTCAATAAATTTTTGTAAAATGAATGTCTACCTGAAAGAGAAAGGAACTGGAAGGCCAGAGAGCCAGAGACGGGGCTGGCAGCTCGTTATGGCTGCACCTGCTACATCAGCCACCTCAGCTGACTCACCTGTGAGCCAGGTAGTGTGGTCCCTCTTTTCCAGAGGGAGCTGAGGCTCTAGCAAAGAAGGGGGCTTAACCTCTTGCACCTGGATAAGCAGGGCCAGCACTCCCAGGGCCCAGTACTCCCAGATAAGGCCCCACCTCCAACTTGTCCTCACCACATACCCGCCTGCTCGTTGGCTGCCAGGTTCTGTTCAAACTCGATGCGCAGCATCTCGTACTCCTTGCGTACCTGGGCCAGCGTGTCCTCCAGCTGGATAACCTCTGTGCGCAGCTTCTTCTGTAGCCCCAGCTCGTCGCTCTGCAGGATGAGCCATAAGGATCCACATGAACCCTTAGCTCCCCCTGGCAAACCCCTCCCTCCTTCACCCCACTTCAGGCCTCAATGGCTTAGGAAGAATCTATTCCCAAGGGACTACTGGCAGGCACAGAGGGCCTCTGAGCCCTAAGACTCTGGCCCCTACCTCCCAGTCCCCATCTGTCCCAGGGCCACACCTCCATGTGCTCGATGTGTCTCAGGTGGGAGTTCTTGGTGGCCAGGAGCAGCCCCCGGGCCTCGTCCAGCTGGGTCTTCACTTGCAGAGACTCATTATAGAGCAGAGAGAACTGGGCCTGCAGCATGCGGTATTCCCCTGTCTCTCGCACTACCTCTTCTGGAAGACTCCGTAGAGCCACCTGAAACAGATATGCCCAAAAGTGATCAGCAAGCAGAATTCAGGGGTCAGCCCCTACCTTGCAGGCCCAGGCTGTCCTAGCCCCAGCCCACCTTGAGGCGCTCATTGGTCCGCACAGCGCCCTGCAGTTCCACCTGTAGTTTCTCCAGTTCTGCCATGCGGCTGTTGGCCAATTCCTGGTTTTCCTCCAACTCTGCATTCAGCATCTCAAACTATGGAGTGGAAGGGGCCATGGGATGCAGGCTGCAGGCCTCCCTCACATCCCCGCCATACACTCCATCCAAGCTCCCCTGTGCAGTACAGATGGAGTCTGAAGTCCCAGGGATGAGGCAGACTAAGCACTGTCCTAAGGGCTCCCATGTAAGTGGGAGAAAATTCAATACTGTATGGTCAGTCGTGGGAACCAAGGCTCCTAACTCATGGGTGTCCCAGAAGACCTGAGGAGCCAGCTGGAGTAAAGGGAAACGGCAAAGTGACCCCGATGGCACCAAGAAAACGTGCAATGACCAAGATGTGAGAGAGTGAAGGCAAGACGAGGAATGAGATACCGATTACATGCACCCCTCAGTGAGGTCCTTCCTCAGACACCCAGCTAAGAATGCCAACCGACTCCAACACACTTCCACTTATCTCTTTTCTCTGCTTTATTTTCCTTTGTGGTATAACTGATATACTGTGTGTTTTACTTATTTCTTTATCATCTGTTCCCCCAACTAGAATCTAAGCTCTATTTTGTTCTCCGATATTCCCAGCACCCAGCACAGGGGCTGACACTTAATGTTCAACAACTGTTTAGTGAATAAATAAACACAGGGCCTCAGGAACTTTGGCTCAATGTTTGTCCTTAATTCTGACGGGAACTTCAAGGGTGGGGTCGAGAAAAAGTGATGGAAGGGTTGGGAAGAATGACACCCCCTCACCTTCTGCATGCTGAGTGTGATCTGGCCACCCTGGAAGCCTGAGGAGCTCCCAGACACGTAGTAGCCAGAGTTGAGCTGTGGAAAGAAAAGAGGCAGACAGACAGATGTAAAACTAGGGCCCTAAGTACCCAGCCCTGGCTCCATCTGACCTAACACCCCAGCTCCACCTGCTCCAAGGCCTCCGCCAGGTGCTTATTAAGCTTCTGCTCTCGCTTGCGCAGCTTCTCAATGTCCCACTGCAGGTCCTCCACTGTTGTCTCCATCTCCAGCACCTTGGTCTCTGCCGAAGTCACTTTATCCTGGAGCTCAGAGTACTACGGGCAATGGAGGGGGCAGATGCTTGGATGAGGGACTTGGTTCCTTGAGACTCCTCGGGTGCCCATCTAACCCAAACCCTGCCCTGATTCTAATCCCACCCCCAAAGACCTTGACTCCACCTCTAACGAGATACGGTGGTGCTTCTCCTGCAGTTGGGTGGCCAAGTCCTGTAGCCGCCGGTTCTCACGGCCCAGCTCCCGGGTGCGTGCCTGAGCCACCTCACTGGGGGGCTCACTGTCCCCTGGGAAGGCAGGGCATAAGTAAGAGTCAACTCCAGGGCAATGGAACAAAATTTTGCATTTTGGAGTCTGCTACATGCCCAATGTGATCCACCAGCTTTTTGGTCCATTTCTCATGACAAAGTCAAGAGGTTCTCATTTCCACTACAGACGGGGAAACCTACTCAAAGAGTAGATCTATCTGCCCAGGACAGCCAGGCTAGAGTGGCAGAACTAACGCTGGGAGAAGCCTGTCAGCCTGCAAAGCCTGAGCACTTGCTGCTATTCCTTGTGGATTAGTAACTGCCAACAAGGTTTGTGCACAGCACTCCAAAGAGTTCTCCAGCCAGAGAGAGGTGGCCTCATCAGAATCACAAACTCTTCCACCCATTTCTCCATAGTTCAACTCCAAGAATCAAAGCTGGAGCCTCCCCTGTACAACCCAACTCTTCCCCTAGAACGTGGCTGGTTTATTCCTTGGGGAATTCCAGCTGCCTTTGGGCTCACAGCATTAGGGGAACTAGAGAGAGGGTGCCATAAAGGTGTAGGTGGGGGTGGACAGCTCTAGGGTAGGAGTACAAAGAACTAACCTCGGCTGTATACTCGCTGACAGAGTTCTTCCACCTGGCGCTGCAAACGGTCTGAGGCCTCTACAACACGGGACACGGCTGCCTTGGAGAACTCCATACGGCCCTGCAGCTGCAGCTCCACCTCCTCACTGCTGCTGGCGCCCAGTGCCACCACAAAAGCCAAGGCTGACTCACTAAGAGGGGGTCTCAGCTGCGTTGGCAGAGGCTCTGAGAGGGACAGACAAACCCTCATGAGGATAACAGTAGAAATTACCATCACTCTATACCAAGTCCCAGACTGAGTCTTTCACACTCCATGGCTCACTGAAATCAACACACCCACAGCCTACGTACAGTGCTATCCCCCTCTCGAAAGTGACACAACTGAGGTTTTCAGGGAGCTAATTTCCTCAAGACCCTAGAGGTCCCAGGGAAGCCTCATCTAATTTCCCAATCTAAGTTACAGCCACATAAACATGCACACACATCATTCTCTTTCAGGGATCTCTATACTTTTCACTTATTACAGTTGAAAATCACATATATACTTATGCATTTATTTCCTTAATAGCCAGTCTATTTCTCTCAATATCAATTCCCTGATTGACAAGGACAATACTTCCTCTTGCTTATTTCTGTCTCTTCCAAAACTAGAACAACGCCAAGTACATAGCCAACACTCAATACTTTTTTTTTTTTAACCAAATAAGAGCGTCAAAACATGACTTGCAATACGAACCAAGTCAGTCGTTTCAAAGCCTGCACTCTGCTGCCCAAACATGAAATTGTGTTGAGGGTGGGGGCAGGGGCGGGGGGAAGGCATTCAGGAGCCTTAACATCAAAACTCCCTCCTCCCCATAACCTTCCCAGAGATTAACTAAGCTTCCCAGATCCTAGGGCTCTGGCCTACCCCTCAGCTCTGATGTCCCTGGCTCTGTGAGAGGGGTCCCATCGTGTGTCGGCCCCTCCTGGGTTCCAGGTGCCTCTGTCCCTGAAGACAACTCCCCCTGGCTCTCATGACGACGAAGAAGGGCTTCCACAGTTTCATCCAGCTGAAAGGAGAAAGCACCGAAAATGTTACGGACCCCTCAGGTGCTTCCCAGCATAATACTCCTTTCTCAGCAGAGGAGTCTCGCGATTGGTAGCCAGATAAAGGCGAGATCTCGGAAAGCAGAGGGGCATCCACCTGGGCCCAGTAGCGGTTGACAATGAGGAGTGTGGCATCATCTGTGGCCTGCCGCTTCTCTAACTTCTCAATTCTTTCTCGGAGTTCATCTTCACAAGCCTGCCGCTGTTCCAACCGCTCTGCTAGTTTCTTGTTCTTGAACTGCAGTACCTTCAGATCCATCTCTTCCTACCAAGGGAAACAAAGAGGCCGAGGAGAGGGTCAAGCAGGGCCCACAAATCAAACATAAGGAGAGACAGAGAAGGAACGGCATCCCCAAACTAACTGCAAACAGAATTTAAAGAGGCTTTGGCATCCTTAGAGAAAGCGGCTTGACTGTGAGCTTCACGTTCTGTTTCTGCCCCTGCCCACTTCTAACCCTGGAGTCTTTGAGAAGTCATACGTCCTCTAGAAACCTTCCCTATCAAGGGATGGCAGACGTCGTGTTCTTAGTTCCCTTCAACAGTGTTCTGTAAAGTGGATCCTGCTAAGCCTGGGAAACTAGCGATAAGGTTCTGGGCGGTCTGGGAGGAGAACACAGATGGGAGTCTGGCAAACTCTGAGGGCTAGGACCTACGAACCGTGGAAGAGATGCCCCCAAGGCGAATGGGTTCTATGAGAGTGGTCGTGGTCTTCTCCTCGCGGCTCAGCTTCTTTTCTGGGGGTCCCGAGCCCCCATCTCCGGCGGCGCGTTTGTTGCCGGGCCCAGACATGGCCGCGGCGGCGAGGTCCCACCGAGGGGCGTCAGGCGGGCGGAGGCGGCACTTACTTCACCTGCAGAAAACAGAGAGCAGAAACGTGGAAGCGGCCGGTGCCCAGAGCCCCGAACTCCCCCATCCCCATGCCCACACACACACCTCCTGGATCCTGCCCCCGCCGGCCCCGGGGCCCTCACCGGCAGCACCCTCAGCCTAGCGCCGCCATCTTGGATTTCACCGGACATCACCGGCCTCCTCAGCACACGGCGCAGGCGCCAGAGGAAGTGCCGGATGTGGCGAAAACTCTTTATTTCCTGTTTCTCTTGATCTAACACGGTTCCGCCTTTTGCGTCCCGTTTGGTTTCTTCCTGAACGCCTGTTTCTCTCGGTGATTGGCCAGTAGATAGTTCCCATGGTTACTGACACCATACTCCCACTTCCCCACCTGAATGACATAGCCTACTCTCCTACTGGCAACTTCAGAGGGCACAGGAGTGGGCACTTGCAACTTATTACGCATGCACATCCCCTTGCCACGGATTGGTCAGTGCCCTACACTTTTTACTTTCCCTCCTTCACAAGTCCCCTTAGCAACGGTCAGTGTTGAGACGAGGGAAGACGCCTCTCTGCGGCGCAGATTGGCTGAAGCGTCGCTAGAGGGCCAGGCCTTGGCGGTCGCAGCTCAAGAACTAGCTGTCCCAGAACGGAGGCAGGACAGAGGCTGTGGTGATCCGCGGGACGGAAGAGCGACGAGATGATCCGCCAAAAGTCCAGCCAATGGCTGGGGCTGAGAAAGCAGTCGGAGCTTGAACTGCCCTCGGAACTGCAGCGGGAACCGGAGAAAGATTTCAGCTCAGTGGGTGAATCGGCCACGAGGATGGGAACGGGTGTGCGGACCGAGTCGGGGACGGCCACCTCCGTGGAAGTGGATGACGATCCTGGAGCCAGCTTGTTCCCGGTGAGGGCGAAGCGGAGTGGTCTGCTCAGGAATGTAAGAGGGTTCCCAGGCAGGGAGCCACCTATCATTATGTTTACTAACGTTAAAGATGTTTCCCGAGCTACCTTGGGAACAACCCCGGTTGTAAATATGCTCATAAATAGCAATTAGGGCCTGCTGAAGCCCAGCGCCACTCGCCCGCATTGGTTGTACGTGGTCCTTGAGATAGAGATTCGCGAAGGGCCAGGGACAACACAGCTCTGCCTTCCCCAATCCGCTTTCTCTCCGCAGCCGCCGCTGCCCCAGCCTCGGATCTGCATGTGGTGAGTGTGAAGAACCACGGGAAAAGGTTATGCTTCATCCTTGCATTATTATTATTAATCCTTTAGTGCCCCCCCCAACAGTCAGGGCATCCCCATTTTACAGAGAAGGAGATAGAGGTGCAATTACCTAAGATGACTAGAAGTCAGTCCTTCTGCCTCCCCAAGTTCACAGAGGGAGTGTGGGAAGGAAGGCGCCAAAGACTGAAGATGTAATGGACTATCAGAGCTGCTATTGTACAAATGGGGACACTGAGGCTCACAAGGGGGACTTGCCTAAAGTCATACAGCAATGTAGTGGCCAAGCAGAGTCTAGAACTCAAGTTTCCTAACCCTAGATTTTATAAATGAAGAGTATCTTAAGAGTTCGTTTTGGCCATCCTCACATTTAGCAATGGAGAAACTGAGGTCCAGAGAGGGAAGTGACTTGCCTGAAGTTACACAGCAAGTTAGTGAAAGAGCCAAGCCTCAAACTCCGGTCTTCTAGTTTTCAGTCCAAACCTGTAGCCATTATAACCCCGCCGCAAGACATGCATAACAGCCACCAACACTTCTCCCTTCTATGACAGGAAGTACCTGGACATCCATTCTATGCACCGGCTGGAGAAGACCGCCAATGTTGAGGAGATGAGGGAGTATGAGGCTGAGCAGTGAGGGGAAGAAGAGCTCTTGGGGAAGGCTGAGGGGGATGGGTTTGGCTGGCTCCAAAGCACGTGGTGAGTGTGAGGTGGTGAAAGGAGGCTAGGCAGTCTCCTGCACTCCCTCACTCCTCTCTCTTCTTAAGGGTGCTGGCTGAGCTGTTGGGGCTGAGCTGTCCTGAGCAGAACCTGCGGGAGGCCATCACCCTGGACCTCTTCTCCCATGCACTTATCTTCTGCCGCCAGCAAGGCTTCTCACTGGAGCAGACATCAGCAGCTTGTGCCCTGCTCCACGATCTCCACAAGGCCTGTATTGGTGAGAGGGAGGAGGCTACTGGACAGTTTGAGCCCTGGGGAAAGGGAGAAGCTAGGCTGGCACTAGAGAGAACAGGAAGTAGGAAGTGGGGGATTACCACCTAGAATCTCTGTCATTAGCTAGCAGTATTATCACACACAAATTAATTTAACCTTTGAAATCCTCAGTTTCCTCATCTATATAATGAGGATACAACACTGACTTCATGGGATTGTTCTAAGAAATAATATATGTAAATATATGCACCGTGCTCAGTAAAATAGCCTCTGCTTACCCCCTTTATTTCCTGACTTGATTTTCCTTTGAAACATTTAACAATAGTTGAAGTTACACATTCTTTGGTTTATTCTCACTTCCACTAGAACATAAGCTTCATAAGGGCAGGACCTTGTCTGTCTTGTTCAGTACCTAAAACAGTACGTAGTGGGTACTCAATATTTGTTGAGTGAATTAATGAAACAAGCCAGGACTTGAACCTAGATCTGTCCACCACTAAAGCTCATGCTCAGTATTTGCTGACTGAGTGAAATGAAAGAATGAATTTCAGGGAGAGGACTCACTGTCGCATCTTGCTTTCCCTCCCAGCAACCCCCCTGGGCAACGTGGAAGAATGTTACCGCTACTTCATCAGTGTACTTTTTTGCCATGGAGTCAGGGTCAGTTCCCTGGAATGGGACCCTCCCCCTCCCCCAGACAGAGTCCAGCCTCATCTCCCACTCCAACACTCATCACCCTCATCTTCTTCTAAAGGCTGCAGTGGGCACTCCCTGCTCCTAGATGCCAAGTCTTAGAGGAGAGACCAGGCCTTCGGGACGTTTTGATGGGGGGAGGGGAAGCCTGAGGTGGGTCAGTCCCCTAACTCCCAATCATCCACACAGCGGCCTCCCTTTAGCATCGACCTCTTTAATGAGGAACAGCTGCTGGCCCTATCAGACTATGTGGTCAACACCTACTTCCGCCACTTCAAGCTCTACAAATACGTTTTTACACCCCAGGTACTGGGCCATGGGCTATAAGAGGCCATCCCTCATCTCCCCTTTCCCTCAGTGCAGACACCCTCCACTCAGCCTCCCTCTTCCCAGGTACGGCTGGATCTGTCTTTGACTTACGTGGGGCTGCAGCCACCCAAGCTCTGGTCAGAGGGTAAGAAGGATAAGGGGGAGGGCTGTGGCTAGGGCTGGGACTGGGACTGAGGCCTCTTCCTGCTTCTGGCTTACAGAGAAAGAAGGCAGCGAGGAAGCAGAGGAGCAGGCAGTCACTCCACAACAGCAGGAACTGGAAATAGTGGCCCAGCCAGAGCAGGAGTCAAGTGAGGACCTGGAAGGGTTAGGGTTCCCTGTGACTCTAGGCAGATGTAAAACAAATGGTTTTGACCACATCAGAACTTCAAACTTTTTTTTGTTTTTAAATCATGATGCCTTTTCTCCAAAGGATTCCTCATGCAGAAGTCCAATATGACAAACAGATAAAAACACTGGGGTGTACTGGGTGGGGCAGGAGCTCCAGAGAGGATAGTTATAAAATGGTGACAATAACAGCTAGCACATGTTTGGCAATTACTATGCAGCAGGCAGGCTCTGTTTTAAGCATTGTACATATACTAACTCATTAATTCTTGCCCTACTCTACATGGTAGGTGTCATTACTATCCACATTTTACACAGAGGAAACTGAAGCATGGAGAGGTTAAATAACCTGTCTAAGGTCACACAACTACTAAATAGCAGTCAGAACATGAACCCAGAAAGTTTGGTAAAGCCACTCTGCCCATCTACCTCTCATAGACAGGCTAGCTGACATTTCCTAAGTAAAGCAGTACTGCCACCTGAGGAGCACCTTGGGAGTTGTTTGCCCTGCTAGGGGCAATTCCCTCATTCTCAGACAGCATCTCTCCTGACCTGCCCGCCCCGCAGGCCAAGTCTCCACGCTTCGAGCCTTCATCAAGACCCAGCTGAACAAGGAGCTGGGGAAGCTGCGACAGCTGGTGGAAGAGCAGCTCATGGCCAGCGAGGAAAGGCTCAGCAGCAAGTTGGCTGCCCTGGAGCAGCCCTTCCAGCTGCCCCCAGGCAAAGGCAAGACCAAGACCAAGTGATCCCCAGCATTTTCCCCAATAAAGGCCCGAGCCATCCCCACCCCCACCGTGAACACCTTCTGAGCTTCCCTGCCCAAACCACTAGACACAGGGCACCCGCTCTCCCTGGCACGTTAACAGATTTTATTTCATGTGCAGTACAGGCAGCACTGACGAGGTCGGGCATGGCATTCCAGATGGCTCCCTTCCACCCCAGTTCTGATCTCCAAGCCCTGGCTGGCAGGAGTAGGTGTAGAGGGCTGGTCTTTATGATAGTAGCGTGATCAGTGGTAGGCCTGGCCAGGCATGGGGGCTTGAGGCCTAGAGCCTAGAAGGCCTAGACTGATAAAAATCCTCCTCCTGGAGAGTTCTGCTTCTGGAATTCTGGAATTCCCCAGGGCTGAGGTCTTAGCCCATCACCAGCATAGCCTCATCCTCAGGGACAGCAGCTGAGTCCCCCTCCTCTTCAGGGCCTGTGATTGGAAAAGGCCCAGGGGGCCGGTGCTGGAAGAGGGCTGCCCGGTTCTGCTGCTCACCCTTCTTCACCCAGTGCCCGTAGAGCCGGAAGGCGCAGTTGTCAATGAGGCGCCGCACTGGCCGCAGTGCATAAGGATCCCTCAACAGTGCACTCTTGGTCAGGGGCCGTATGCGGTGGGTGCTTAAGGCCACTCGTCCAGCAGCCAGCACTGTCCACACTGCCACCTGGGAAAGGGGACAGTGTGAACTCCAGTGGAGTATCCATCACAGAAGGACCATGGGGTAGAGGAACAGGCCCAGGCCCTGACACTCTCAGGCTTACCCGGAACCGCTGGCGGGGGGTGAGGTTCCAGGGTTGGCTGCCTTCACAGCGCTCGAAGAAGGGGTGGTGTAGGGCCTGCTCAGCCGTCAGACGCACCTCAGGGTCTACCTGCAGCAGCTTTGAGATCTAGGAGAAACCCCAGAGCTTGAGGGGCAGCTCTTGGGCCTCCCCTCTTGCCCTCTCATGGCCCCAGCTCACCAGGTCTTTAACGGTGTTTGAACGGTCATCCCACTCAGGTGAACTAAACTGGTACCGGCCCTCCATGATCATGCGTAACATCAGGATCTGGCGCCGGTGCCAGAATGGTGGTGAGCCAGCCAGGAGTGTGAACAAGATCACCCCACAGGCCCAGCTGGGAAAAAGACCAGAGTCAGGCAGGACTGGGTACGTGGGGGGCTCGGGGGCAAGTATGTTGAAGGACAGTACACATGGAAGGGGGCGGGGGTGGGACCAGAAACTCACAGGTCAACCTCCTTGCCGTAGCCTGGGTGGGTTTCGTCCATGGAGCATCTAAGGATCTCTGGTGCTAGATACCCTGGGGTCCCACACAGCTCTGGAAAGACAGGGCTGAGGTTGAGGGGGTATCACCAGCCCCTGCTACGGCCCTTAACACTTGATCTCTGCTGGCGCCTTCGCAACACTACCCCAGCCACGAGCATTTCCCATTCTGCTCCAGCCTGCCCTCTGCAGAGTCTCAGTACAGAACCCATCACTGCTGAACACCTCAAATACCTACCAAGGCTCCTGGGGCCTTCCTAGGAAAACCTGATTTTTGCACTGGACTTCAAGGTCCTACCCAACTGTACCATTTGCCTCCTCCAACCCTCCAGCCAAGCCAACCTACAACCGCCCTTCCCCACTCCTCACACAATTTGTTTGCAACCACATTTTTACATATATAACATACAAAAAAAAAAAAAAACTTAAGTCTTTTCTGCCCAAACCTATTCCTCCTCCTATAATCTCCACTTTGGTTACCTGAACCACCACTCAATCCAAGGGGAAGAAGTGGGAAAATGGGAATTCCTAAAGCACATACTGGTTAAGTCGCCTGTTTAAAACCCTTCCCTGGCTCTCCATCAATACATTAGGATCGAGTCTAGACTTCTACAGCACAAAGCCCTCCATGACTTGTCCAAGCCTTTATTTTTAGTTTCTTCTACTGCTCCCAGGCACCAATTTTATCAACCCTGCAGTTTCCAAACTGTGTTCCATGGCCCCGTTCCAGAAGATCTTAATAGGTTTGACTGAAAACATCTCTCTTGGGAAATTCATTTCTACACTAAATATTTATTGAACACCTGCCATGTACCAAGCACCATACTAGGGACAGAAATAAATTAACAGATGTGTCCCTACAAAGCTCACTGTCTACCAGAAAGCAAACAAGTAATAACAATTAAAATGCATCATAAAGACAGAAGATATAAGAACAAAATTCAGGGGACCTAACTTGACCTAGAACTTTAAAGTGAAACCTGAATTACCCAAGCCAAGGGAGAGGGCAGAGTGGGCAGGAACAAAGCTTATTCCAGAAGGGGGAAAGTATATGTGAAAGCCTAAAGAGAAAGCACAGCATCCACATGATTTCTGTAAGTCCAGAGATTAAGAGCATGGGCTCTGGAGTCAGACTGCCTAAGTTCGAATCCCAGCCACATGACCTTGGGCAAGTGACCTTACCTCTTCAACCTCATCTATAAAACGGAGACACAAGCACTATCTATCTCATAGGGCTGTTGAGAGGATCTACAGAAATAAGCCATGCAAGGTCTTAGTGTGCTACCTAGCTCATAATAAGCACCCAGTAAATGCTAGTTATTAGTAAGTTCAGTGCAAAGCCATTGAAGTCGTATTAAAGGTTCTGAGGAGTCCCACAGTTAAACTTTGTTTAAAGTTTCCCGTTTGCAGTAGAAATAGTTCCATCATAACAAATGTATTAGTATCAGGTGAGCCTGAGTCCCGGGGCACCAGGTGGGAAATGCTGTCTGGCCGTGTCAGGCTCTCACAACACTCTAGAAGCACATTATGGCCCTTTCCCCACCAGGCTTCTAAACACACTGCTGAGCCCTGGTATCTCCAATTGCCACTCTTTTTTCTCCCTGGACAAGCCCAGCCTCCCTCTGGACCCAGCTCTGGAGCACCCTCCTCTGTGAGTAGCCCAGGCTGAATCAGGTGCTCCTTGTTCTTAGTGTCTCTCTGCCCTGGTCCTTAGCCTGCTGTGTGCCACTGCTCATTCATCTGTCTACCCTCTCCAGGTCAGAACGCCCACAGCGAGTTATACACAAGGCTTTACACAAGGCAAGTGCTCATGGACTTCTCCCCATTGCTTGGTACCTGGGGCTCAGTACTCAGACTTAGCCAACTTCAGGCCTGGGCCCCTTCCCTCCCAAGCCTCTTAGGGCACCAGGTCTCCTCACCTCGCAGCTTCTCACCAGGTTCCAAGTGGCAGGAGAATCCAAAATCTGAAAGTCGGATCTGCATATTGTCATCTAGGAGAATATTCTCAGGCTTCAGGTCTCGGTGCACAATGTTGTTGGCATGGAGAAAGCTCACTGCTTCCAGCAGAGACCTCATGATGGATCTAGGAGAGGCACAATCTCCTGCTCTGTTTCTCCCTGCCCCACCCCAATCCCTGCACACCCAGGGGCTGCAGGCTCAGCCATTACCTGGTTTCCTTTTCTGAGAGGGCCACCTTCTCTGTGAGATAGTCAAACAGCTCTCCCTTCCGCATCCTAAGGGATAGGAGGAGCATGGGAGGTACGTGCACCCCACAGTGGGGGTTGAGAAAATAAGTCCGTGTCCACGGAAAATACAATGGAAGAGGCTGGTAAGCAGATACCTCTGCAGGCAAACCAAAGCGGCTTAAGACAAAGCACTCCAAGAGGGAATTGGATGCCGTGGGCAGTTTGGCCCAGTGGCTTAGAGGTTGAAATATCTGCATTATGCCATCATGGGGCTATTTTAGCAACAGTAAATGCCTTCTTGTGACCATAATTTATAGGAGGTCCTTGTTAACTAAGAATACCAAACCAAAAAACCAAACCCATTGCCACAGAGTCGATTCTGACTCACAGCGACCCTACAGGACAGAGTAGAACTGCCCCACAGGGTTTCCAAGGAGCGGTTGGTAGATTCAAACTGCTGACCCTTTGGTTAGTAGCTGTAGTGCTTAACCACTGCACCACCAGGGCTCTGACTAAATAAAGGCCTCTTAAAGTGAATCATTTATAATAATTTATAGGCCAAAGAACTTCACAGTTAATAGTGGAAAAAAGTTGAATAGGACTTTATTTCAACGTTTTGCTTATTTTATCCTAAGTCTTTAAAAACTGAGGTCATAATTACAATGCTAGATCAATCCTTTAAATAAAGAACACATTGGACGTTGTTTTGGGGAGTGATACTGTTCTTAAAGTTACATGATGGTGTAACAGACACGACCTACTTCCTCTCTGACTTTTACAGAGGGTCACTTATGTAATTGTATTGGAGGCTTTGTGAATTTCTTCCAAAGGACTCACATAAATATTTGATATTCAAATCATTCTCTTTTGAAGTACCTTTGCAACTATAATATCTAACATTCAGATTCAGACTGACCAGATAAAGAATTGATGGCCAGAGACAGACACCAGTATTCAACAAGGAGGGGTAGTCGAGTACGGGGTCTATTTTATAAGTGGTCAGTTCACTGATGAACACTCTCCTCTTAAGACAACTCCTTCTTCCCTGCTAACCTTATAACTATGGGGGACTGGGACAGTGTCCCCTTAGGTCATGAGGACCCTTTGAATTTGAATAGTCACTATCGTTCTTGAAGAACTTGCCTCCACTGTGGTACCTAGGGAGAGGAGCTAGAGCCATGGGCTGGCAGTGATAGAGAGGGCCCTCGCTTGAGCAAAGGAAGGTGTGGGCGGGTGGGGTCTCCAGCCCTTTATATGGTTAAGGCTGGGGCTTGTGCATGGCGGTGGGGAGTAGGCTCTAAGATCAGGGCAGGGAGATACTCACAGGTCAAACACCAGGAACATGAAGCTAGAAGACTCGTAGGAATCGATGAGAGTGACTGGGGAAAGAGGCAGAAAGACAGACAGAGATGGAAAGAAGCGGATATGTATTAAAGCGGCTTTTCCACCCTGAGACAGCAGTGGGCTGTTATTGGGAAGGAAGGAGAACCAAAGGAGGCAGTAGGGACCCAAAGGTTGGCCACTCATTGAGGTGGAGCAGAGCCAGAAGAAAGGG